AATATGATTGCCATTTTCTGTTCTTTTCATATGAGAGACTGCAGTTAATTTAATTCGTATTATACGATGATTCACCCTAATGTGATCATATGAAAGGGGCGGGAAAAATTTCATAGCAACTGATTGGCCTCTCTTTATGTTGGCGTTTTACTGTACTACCACAGTGGAAATATGTCAACCAAAACTTTCCAACTTAGGCGCATGACACAACACCTCCAGCATATTTTTGTAATCTCATGGTGGTGTTTGGTCTTCATGGTGGGTTTCTAAAACTGATACTTACAGTACAGACAGAAGGTCTTATGGAGGAGATATTGTAAATAAAAGATCTGTTGCGTTTACAATTACTATACTAAGGTGTGCACTAAAGCTTTTTGTTGCAAGATGCAAAATACCAAAGCAATGATTAATTAAAACACAATCAGTGCATGGGAGTCATCAGTATTAAGATTAGGCAACTAAAACACTTGGACACAAAAATACATTTAGATAGGTAGATAGGTAGGTAGGTTTATTGTCACAATATACATTTAAGTAGGTAGGTAGGTTTATTGTTACAATACAACAAGTTATAGAGGGAAATTGACATTTGTTGATCATCCAATCAGGTGTTTCAGACAGATCCTGTCTGATTCTCTTGGTATGTGCTCAGTCAGTCATTGCTCATAAAATAACTTAATGGGGTTGTGAACAAGTGTCTATGGCAAGATGTCTATGGTTTTTGTTGCAGAGATTTCTACTGAAGATAGCATGCTAACCAGCAAGCCCAAGTATGTCCTGGGTTGTAATACCACTTTCTACCTCAAGAGGCAATAGTATAGTATAGCTCAGGGTTGGTACATTACACAAGCTCTCTTAACTTTTTAAGTATAAAAAACAAACATAATAAACTCAAATGCCCAGTCCTAGTTTTGGTGCCCACAAAACACACGAGCAGGAAGAGCACAGCAGACAGAGTTACATTCACAGTACAGTAACTGCTTCATTGCTATTCAGCTGGACAGAAGCCTATACCAACATGCATTATCTGAAAGGCAAAGCACCACATTGTAGGGCTATAACAAAAGGTCATGCACATATGGGAATATTCTAAAAAAAGCCTTTACTTGCAATAAGTATAAATACTGAGGCAATTAACCTAAAATAATCCTGGGTCCAGATATGTACAGTGGTGAACCCTGGCAATCTAATGTTGTGCATTACAAAACCAGAGAACGTGGCAATAACAACTTTGAAGTTAAAATCTTGTCTCTGTTTCCTTTATACATAACACAGAGTTAAATATACAGAAGAACACAGAAGAAGTAACAGCTGTAAAATTTGATATAAAAGCTCTGCTGTGAAAGCTTTTGTGTACTTTGTGTCCTCTCTACTTGTTTACTCTCTTCACTGAGAAGCAACTGATGCATGGAAAGTTAAGCATTGATGTGGCTGGGCTTTCAAAATAAGGTGTGAATTCCTGTTACATTTTAGTCTCAAGAACCAGGGCCTGATCACCGCCAGTGGAGTTATTTCAAATATCACAACAACTTATAGGAGTAGCTAAAGTCTGCATAGAGAGGTTGGGCCACACCAGCTTAGTCACTCTATGTCATGATGGGTTTTCATTGTACTTCTCTGTGGTTTGGTGTTTTTCATCTGTACACTAGTGACTGAGAATTGGGGGAGTGATTTACTTTAACTGGTCTCACGCTGATCTTTGTGGCAAAAGTAGATGTTTGAGGTCATCTGATCTTTACCTGATTATCTGCAAAAAGCACTGGTAGCCTTGTGCAACTGTCCTGTGTGCAGACCAATTGTATCTTGATACAAGGGAACATGTTTTACAACTTTATGTAAATAGACTATGTGGAGCAATGCATGTTTCTCTTAGATGCCTTTTCACATCTCTTAATATTGGCACATGAGCAAAGCACAAATGTTAAACTGAAGAATGATAAAGTTTGAACACAGGCCAAATGTTTTGAATTAAATTCATTCACTGAATAGTATACACAGTAGGCCTATAGAGAAAATATGAATGTGACTACTTGTCCTTTCATCATTTTCATGACGCCAATACTATATTGAAATATGGTGAGTAAGATAACAAATACACAATTTTGCCCTTCACTTGAGAAAAAGCAAAAAAGCAGAGGTTGTAGCTTTGAATCCAGGCTCCAGTCCCATGCAAGTTAAGCCAATTTGAAACCCTAAATGACCTGAGGTGTCATGTGACCTTGAGTGCATCTGTCATTCAAAATGTTTATGATAGGCTCATCAAGTCAGGAATTGAAAAAACTACAGTGAATAATTCATGTGCAGTTTGAATCAGAGCTGAAGAAAAGAGATGTTTAAAAATAAAAAGCACCTATAAAATAATCAAGTTGTCTGTTTAAACTAAAACAAGCTTTCTGAGGCCTCTTGTACCTCTTCCTTCCTTGCAGCTTTAACCTCATTATACATCCTGTTGAAACCTATAGTCAGCATTGTTCTGAATAAACAACCTTGTTGGGTGGTCAAAGGGCGGAGAAATGGCCCATGCCACTGTTGCATGTGGCTTTCAATGTTATTTTCAAGAGAGACATGTAGAATGCCTTTACAAATTGATGTGACACTTTACAAAGATAAAGGAAGTGTTTTGATTGATTTAAGTAGTTTTTGCCAAACAATCTTCTTATAAAGCATATTACTATATATTGTCAAAAGCCAGATTGAATGTACCTGAAGCATACAAAGCTCCTTATGTGCTTCATTTAGCTTGTTGTTGAAAACTAAGTTGTGGTGGACCAATAAATAGTCAACAGCTCACTTTCAAAACCACTGGCTGGCTGTCTGCTGGCACCTCTCTTAATTTCCACATGTGACTCTCAAAAACATAGTGTTAACTATTTATACTCTTATTTCCAAATACTTTGAAAAGCCTCAAGCCCTGTTCCAATTGGAATAGTTTCTCCCTGTGTGTTATGACCTGCGTCATATTGGTTTGGATGTGAGTCTCAATGATGTGTATTTCTGCCTGCTGTTACCCTCCCTACCTTAGGGAGGAGCTGTTTTGTTTGTCTGTGTTACAGATGGTGGACAGCGGATTGGGCTGGAGGATTTGCTGTATGAAGGGACCTGTGTGGAGGCCACACGCTCTCTCCTCCCCTTCCCTACCTCCCCAGCCAGACGGGGCGTTCTGGGGGAAAACCTCCTGGTGTATTATAGCTTACCCTTTGTTGTATTTCACCTATGTGCTGGAAGTTAGCGGTGTGATGTTGGAAAACAGTAGGGGGGAGAGCTGCCAGTTATTTTGAATATTGCTTTCTCCAGGGAGTCAGGTTAAGTATTTGTTCTTTCCTTTTGTATTTTATTTTGTTGTAGGATTAATTATTGGGATGGGAAAAGGTGGTTTTGTTTGTTGTTTTGGCCTAGCTCTCCCTGATGTCTTGGTTTTCTATACCATTTGTGAATAAATCTAACATTAACCGTCAGAATATCCCGTAGCCCTTTGATGATTTATGGGGAGTGGGGAAAAGAGAGGAGACATCATGTTGTACTCAGGCTTCCCCTAGGTTCAGTATTTAAAATCAACTTATAGTATAAGCATAAAATGCATTGTCTCTACTTAACAAGCTGTAAGCCAACACATTTGGGTACAATTAGGCCTACATCATAACAGCATATGTGTTTAGACCAGTTAAATTGACTGTGAATAGTTCAATTTCCATAAATCTTATGAAGATTTTAACTGTGATAACAAAATAGAAGCATAATCATTTATTTGGAGTCATGTTTCACTCTCTTTAGCTCTGGGTATTGGTTGTACCAACTCCCGAGGGAAGAATCTGGCAATTTAGCTGCTAAATGCTCCAGGATGTTCCTCAGCTAGTCGTTAACTATGTCTGCTGTTTGATGTTGTGCAAAGTGGGTTTGTAGATCTTTTTTGCTGACATCAGCTGCCTGCTGTGGTCATAAATGAGGCTATGGGAGGTGTGAGAGTAAACCAAAACAGTAAAGTGAACTATGAGGCTGAGGGGAGCTGCGGATACAGGTTATTATTCTCTGTAGGTTTATCACTATTAGTGACCCTTTTCATACTGTCACATTGTCAAGTGATACATTGTTTAATAAAGATACTAAGATCAATAAAATCTAAAATAAAATTTTTAGTAATGACCACCAGCGGTTCCTTTATGTTCTGGACTTTATTTATTTTTTTACTTTTTATTTATTTATAAATTATGTCTAGTTTTCAGCTTTTATGGAAAAATTACAACATTTTGGTAAAAAACAATTGTTGATCAGAAATGTATCTATTTCATCATTGCATTCAATAGATAGTGACTGAGGATGTGTTTAGCAGCATAGCCCAAAGACTGGAGGCAGCAGAAACAGCTGCACTAGAGGAGGAGGAATAAAACTTTCAATCTATCTCATTAGCTGAGGTTACATAAAAAGCAAAGTGCTTAACTGTCTGTGCAGACAGGACTTCAGAGATGCTGTAATGGATAAACCACCTGCTCAGTCAGCTCACCACTGTAAAACACAGTACCTGTTAATTAAATACATAGATACATTTTGGTATTTGAATAATTACACAGATAACTACACCAACACCTTTTTACAATAGGCCTACACAAACCATTGGACGTAAAAGTAACATCAGAAAAAATGACACTGCCCCTACCGTACTAATGTCAACATGCAATTCTGATCATACATTTATGTCTTTATTCAATAAAGTATATTTTAAATTTAATGTGTGTCACACATCAGTCAGTTTATCACTGCAATTGTCCCATAAATATCCACTGTCTCTGAAGCCTTTGATTTAGTAAACAGTGGGTTCATTGATACTGTTTTAAATTCCTATAGCCCTCGTTTGAAGCATTGGATTTGCATTTGTTTAAATAAAACAACTTTACAAGTTGTAAGAAGGCTTTCAAACCTGTATATACTTTATATCTCGGTTGCATTGCAAATGGAAATATGTGTTTGCTAAATTTAGGGGAAGTACATTTTCTACTTATCAGCCAATCACTATGATTTCCACTTCGTAAACCGTGATCAACTTAACATGAAACCTTCCATTTGGGTCAGACATCAGTTGTGCAAGACAAGGGTGCTATATCACAATGATTGGAAGACTGACTCCTGTGATTCTTCTTTGCACAGTGTGTAAGTGCAATTTGAACTAGTGTGTAAAAAAATATTACTGCACATTATTGTTTATATCAATTATATGTGAAAAAAAAGATAGAAAAGCCCCCTAAATAATTATTTAAAAGTGCAGATATTTTTTTATTGTTTTTCTGTTTTTGTTTGTCTTTTTTTTTCAGCTCTGATTCAACCGGCAGATGTTCCTCGTCCCATCAATATGACTGTGGTTGAAGTTGGTGGAAGTGTTACTATGCAATGTCCAGTTTCTATTGCGGAAATTAAATTCTTTCACTGGTATAAGCAGTCTCTTGGATATATGGTCCAAACTGTTGCTACAGGAGTTTATGGCAACATAAACTGCCTTGGACTATTTAAAAACCCACGTTTCAAAGTCGATGGTCAGTATTTTTTTAGCATCAGAAATGTTACCAAAGAGGATGAAGCAATATACTTCTGTCAAGGTGGAACAGAGTTGTCACAAGATTTTTTGGGTGGATTCTTCTTGGCAGTAAATGGTAAAATATTACTTTCCAGATGTTTTGTCTCTGTCAATAATCACATATCTCGTTAGTCATTCAGATTTTTTAAATTCAGATTGAATTAATTTTCTCGCCTTTTAATTAATCACACAGATAACAATCAGCAGACTGTTTACTTGAAACAAAGTCCGAAGACAGCATCGGTCCAGTTGGGAGGCTCAGTGACTCTCCAGTGTTCACTTCTCTCTCAGAACAAAGGGAACACAGATCAGTGTCCAGGTTCACACAGTGTGTACTGGTTCAGAGCTGGATCAGGAGAATCCCATCCAGGCATCATTTACAGTCATAAGAGCAGGAATGGTGAACAACAGAAAAGGAGCTGTGCCTACAATCTCTCCAAAACTATAAGGAATTCCTCTGATACTGGGACTTACTACTGTGCTGTAGTCACATGTGGAGAGATGCTGTTTGGTGAAGGAACCAAAGTGGACACAAGTATGTATTTACAGTAGTATTTAAATTATAAATTCATATATGTTCATTATGTAGCAGAATATAATAGGTTAAGGGTGATTTGATTATTAGTCTGTTGATTTCTCTGAAGTTTAGAGTTCCTTTTGTGATGAAAACATCAACATCATCTTGTCAAATGTATTCCATTGACTAAGTTTGCCTTTGAGACCTTAAATGTTTTTTTTGACATATGCTGTTTATATATGTTATTCAAGGTTATATAAAAGGTTAAACGCTGAAATTTAAAAGTGTGAAATTGTTAAAAAAATGCATCAGAGGTTGTAGGAAGGAAATCAATAGAAACAGCATGCTATTAACAAAGAAAGTTATTTGTCAAATGTTTGCCCAAAAACACAATAAAAGAACATCAATACTTTTGACTTAAATGTAACATTAAAATACAAATAAGGTATTGAGAGTCTCTGAACATTTTTCTAATTCCAGCACCAGAATTAGACCAGATCAGCCTTGTACTTGGAGTGCTGTTGGCCTGCTGTGTGACTGTAATTGTCGTTCTTATTTTCTACATAAATCGAAGGAGAGTTTGCGAACATTGCAAAGGTAGGTTGATCATCCATGGGTTTTTGTATTCATAATTTATGCTAATAGGATCCAACATTGATTACTGCTACCGACATGTTACGCCATCATATAAAATCATATTTTATAAACTAACTACTCATTTTCATAATCTAATAAGAATTTTGTTAAAGAAAATACAATATTTCCCACAGAGAACAATATCCTGTTTCAACCAAATCAACTGCAAATAATATTTATATTAATGTCAAGATTACATGGTGACATGATTCAGGTCATAAATAAATAAATTTCATGTCTCTCCACCCCTGTATTTTAATGAGATGATGACAAAACTAACAATCTGATTGCTTTGCTTTCATTAACAGGAGCAATGAATGGCACCCATCTTCTTGGACATGACAAGTCAACTGTGGACCAAACAACTGATTTGGTAAATATGCTTTAAATAAATTATGTTCATTAAATTCGACTTAATCATACTGCCAATGTACACAGCATCCTCTCCTCCAGTTCTCTGTGATCACCTGTACTGTAATTTAATGTAGCTGAATTCACGATAGTATAGATACTGAGCTGCAGATAACAGTTCACAATCACAATATCGACAGACAAAACAAACAAAAGTACACATTGATGACAACAGCTATATACTGACATAAAATAAGTGTCAACAGAGGTGTTGAAGTAGTAAAAGGTTGTCATATTCAAAGCCAATAAGCATATGTTTCCGCATATAAATCACTTGCAAAATTGCATTTATGCTGTAAAACATGTAAAATGTTGGCAAACAACTCTCAACTAAATTATAATTGTGGTTGCAGCCGGAACACAACGCAGCCTTATGCTATGTAAATTTGTTGTAACATTTTTTCTTTATGAGATCCTCTCAACAGGACACACAGATAGTATTATAATCAAATTGTGCAGGAAAATTATAATAATCTAACTGTTGAGTAGCTAAAAAACAATATTTGTTGCTAAATTTAAACAGATAAATGCAGAAAAAAGTTGTGAGGTATAACTATAATACTTACTGAAACATCATACATTTATTAAAAAATATTACAATTATGTTTTAAATTACATAAGAGTAAGTGTATTAAGCTCACTGTAAAGTCACTGTAAAATGGTCTTGATGTTATAGCCCTAATCTCCATAATATTTCGCATTATTATGCAGGATGGTGAAGCAGTGAACTATGCAGCACTGGATTTCTCCACAAGGAAACTGAAAAGAGGGAGAAAAAAGGGAGATTTGCCACAAGAGTGTGTGTACTCTGTTGTTAGAACAGATTACCACAATCAACAACACCCCTACCTATAGGCAGAGCACGGCCTTTGCGCTCCACACTGGATCTTGATGTAACTGGTGAGAAAAAGAGAGAGTGACCGAGCAAGAAAAGAGTACATATAGGATTGGCTTTTACACTTTGGCTTGAGCAAAAAAAATACTGAAAGGACAGATGCCAAGCCTTTATGCTGTTGGACTAGTAAATAATGTTAGATGGCTTGTTATGTCTTGTGTTGTAGTACTTGCTTGATGTTTGGCTGTGTTATCAAAGTTGTTGACCTGCTACTTTTTGATCACACATAATGAAATCATAACGGGCGTGTAAGTGAATTGTGCTTTTAAACTTGTGACACCATAACGCAACAAATACCAATTATTGCATAATTTTGCTTCAAAACGTACATTTATATTGTCTTCTCACATGATTGCTGATGGGCAAAGCAAGGCTTTGTGAAACATTGAAACGTTCAAAGCAATAATGTCAGAATTGTGTCGAGGATTCGAAACACTTCGAAACACTTCGATCTCTATCTACTGGTCACTTTTGATATTGACATTGAAACAATGACTGACCAGCCAACTCTAAACGTCTTATCAATACATGACCAGCAGGATTTCGGAGAAATCACCACACAACAAACACACAAACGCATTCAGATTGTCAGAGATGGCAGATGGGGATTGCAATAAAAGTGTGTTTAAATAAAACACATTTGTGTGTTGTTTCATAAGTAGGCCTAATCAGTCATTTAGTTGATGCTTTTATCCAAAGCAACTTACAATTACTATATAAAGGCTGTAGGAGGTACTATATAAAGGCTGTAGGAGGCGCCTCTGGAGCAACTAGGGGCTTTTACATTGGTGGATGTGTCACAGTGGGAATCGAAGCCGGGTCTCTCTCACCAAAGGAATGCGTCTTATCCGCTACACCATTGCCACACCGTATTCATATTTTAGAAACAGAATACTTTATTGATCCCCGAAGGGAAATTCGTTGTTACAGAGCAATTTAGCGCAATGCAAAAAAGGAGTGGAAAGAATAGTTGAAGCTGAAGTGAGTAGAGAATATAATAAAGTATACAAGTGAATCAGAGAATATAATAATAAATGATAATAAATTTGGATATCTACAGTATTATAAAGTAGCTTATTAACAGAGGTGTCAGGATAAATAGCAGGAAAAATATAGGCCCTACTGTAATAATAATGAATGATAACCAGCATTCATTATTATTCATTCAATTACTCATGTTAAAAATACTTAACTGAGTAAAGTGTGGAACAATGTCTCACTTTTTTAGTCGAGAATTTTATTCAGAAATATTCTGCGGTTTTGGGGCTGACACATTTTTGTCTTTTCATAAATGACATCCTTGGAAAAAATTTGTTCACATGGAACACTTGTTGCTGGCATACATAGGCCTAAGTATTTTTTTGCCATCATATACAGGTGTGGATCCACAGCACGTCACTCCTGCCAATAAATCAAAGGATCACGTGTCCTTGCAAATATAAAACAAATGCATCTGTCAAATATTTTTTACCTCTACAGTGGCATCAGCAGTTGCACTGTGCATGATATGTGTTCCCACACCAGAGATTGGGATCTCTTACGTGGATTCTCCATCCTAATCTAAACTTTTTATTATCTATCTATATACACACCTAGCCTGTCTAGAGCTATCTGTCTCGATCACCATCTCTATCACTAGGCTATCGGCCTATTTATCCAAGCTATTAATATTAATATGTTAGGCCTACTATATCTGTTCCAAATAGTTGGCTTTCATTGGCCTATCAATTAATGTACTAATATCTAGCCAAACTATCGCACTGTCAATCACTCTATATGTTGTTATCTCTCGAAATCTTTCTTCCCTCAGTAAAACCCTCGAAGTTGGCATGTGTTTGCTTGACATTTAAGCTTTCTGGGAGTTAGAGGCAGGCAGATGTGTGCTTCGGGATCTTGACACAGCATCGACACATCAGTATCAAGCGTCCCATCCCTAATGTTCACATAAAACTGATGAAATATGGTATAAGTTAACTACACATAACAGATCTGAAATGTTTTGAATTATTTAAATGTTGGACCTGCCTTCGCAAGTTTGGGAATCTGCAGAATAACCAACGGCATCACAGCAAATCCACATTTTGTTTGTTGACACAATTTGATTCCAAATAATTTTAACATAATAACAATGAAAATATATTGAATGGTCAGTTCTTAAGGCATTAACTTAGGCCTACCGCAGTATGGACTTACTAGTACTCACACTCAGGATGCTGGCCAAAGCTGAGTACTGATCCAAATCAGCACTCTTGTGTGTAAGTGCAGTTTTTTCTTAAACCAGATGCATGTGCGATAAAATGTAACATGGTCAGGTCCCATATTGTGCCAAATGCACTTTTTCGTGTCTTTTCAACATAATGTGTCCCCAGTGTGTCTGTAGACCCCCAAACTATAAAAATAAACCCTCACCTCTTTTTCTCCTGCTCAGTCTTTCAGTATTTGTGTGTGCAATACACTGTTTGAATTTGGGTCATTTCTGTATAGCAAAGGACCTCCTATAGCCCTTTAGCGCAGTTGATATCACGCCCACTGAACACCTGCCGTCCAACACAACACAAAGTGGTCCCTTTCTAACAATGTTTATTTTCAGGAAACAGCCGATGAATTTGCTGTTATTCCCCTCCCTGTGTTAAGGGAGGTACATATAACTTACCATAAGTAGGTTATATGTACCACATATCTGCTTCGCACGGCCACATGTGAGAAAGGACAACAAACATGTACTCTCTGCTACACAGTACTAATGTTAGAGGTGTAACATCAACATGTGATGAAATGATTATAACACTGAAGAAACCTTGAATTTTCTAATAATATTTGATTCACCTATCACTATCATAGCTGATCAATCCAGTGTATGGGACCGGTGCATTTTGTCCAGTTGAGGATCTTCAGGCGTGTTTGGACTGCACTGACAGATGTTTTTAGGGCTGCTGCCAACAATCTGGATAAGTTTACAGAGGCTGTGACTACATCAGCTTCTGTGAAGATGCCTGTAGACCAACACACACCAGGATGAGTTATAACAATGACAAACCCTGGTTTACAGCCAAACTCACACAACTAAAGTTGGAAAAGGAGGAGGCTTTCAGGGGCGGGGACGGAGGGCGCTAAAGTACAGGTTTAGCAAGGATGTGCGAGAAGCTAAATGACTGTACTCAGAGAGGCTAAAGGACCAGTTCTCTGCAAACGATGCCACTTCTAACTGGAGAGGTTTCAGACAGATCACAAACTACAAACCCAAAGTCCCCCACTCCATCAAAGACTCTCGCCCAGCAAATGAGCTGAACCAGTTCTACTGCCGCTTTGAGAGTCAATCGGATGCCATCCCCCGTGACACCTCCGCTCAGCTTCAGCCCCAGTCCACCACTCCCCTACAGAGCCCAACAGGTCTGTAGACGAGGTTGTAAACATAGCCCTTCACTACATCCTCCTCCAGCACCTGGACTCCCCAGGAACCTACGCCAGGATCCTGTTTGTGGATTTCAGCTCTGCCTTCAACACGATCACCCCGGCCCTGCTGCAGGACAAGCTCTCCCAGCTGAACGTGCCTGACTCCAGCAGCATGTGAGGCTGGGAAAACATTTCTCTGGTTCCAGGACCCTCAGCACCGGTTCCCCTCAAGGCTGCGTTCTTTCCCCTCTGCTCTTGTTCTTTTATACCAACAGCTACACCTACAGTCATCAGTCCGTCAAGCTACTGAAGTTTGCGGACGACACCACCCTCACTGGGCTCATCTCAGGTGGGGATGAGTCTGCCTACAGGCGGGAGATCGACCCTCTGGTGACCTGGTGCAGCCATAACATTCTGGAAGAGCCCAGCCCCACCCTCCCCCATCACCACTGTGGACTCCTTCTGCTTCCTGGGCACCATCATCTCCCAGGATCTCAAGTGGGAGCTGAAAATCACCTCCCTCAAAAAGAAGGCCCAGCAGAGGATGTACTACCTGTGGCTAGCCTCATGAACAAGGCCTGGGCCCCCCACTGACACCTCCCCCCCTTTCAAATAATACAAATGAAAATATTTCATTTCATATCATGCACAAACCTGGCACATTGCACATATTTGCTGTTAATTGTAAATCTTTGTTGTTGTATATTTTTATATTGTCAAATATATATTTATGTACACAATAATACGTATGCACAACACAAACCCAGAATAATGCACATGTAGATATCTGCCACATTTTTCTTTCTCTGCAAATAGTTGCATTATTCTTTTATTATTCTTATATAACTTGCATTGTCAAATTCATATTTATAGTTCTACATTCATTTATGTCAACTGTATGTTTGTCTACGTGTAGCATCTCATCACCAAAGCAAATTCCTTGTATGTGTAACACATTTGGCAATAAAGCTATTCCTGATTTCTGAGATTACCAGTCCTCTCCTGCGCAGATCACACAAACGTTAAAGTTACCAGACTACAGACCACAGCGGTGTGGGTTCAAACCCTGGTTGCCCCGGCTTTTCTGTGTGGAGTTTGCATGTTCTCCCCGTGTCCATGTGGGTTCTCTCCGGGTGCTCCGGCTTCCTCCCACCCTCCAAAGACATGCAGGCTAGGTTAATTGGTGTCTCCAAAATTGTCCTTAGGTGTGGTTTTGAGTGTGAGTGGTTGTCTGTCTATGTGTGGCCCTGCGATGGACTGACGACCTGTCCAGGGTGTACCCTGCCTTTCGCCCGATGTCAGCTGGGATTAGCTCCAGCCTCCCGCGACCCTGTAAGCAGGATAAGAGGTTGACGATGGATGGATGGATGGATGGATGAATAACAAGCTGTGGGTCATTTCATGTCTTTCAATCTCAGCACATCTCTTCTACTAACTTAAAACCATTTCAATTCAGACCTAATGCCAATACCACAGGCAATAGCTATACAGAACATTAAGGTGAAATTTATTAACTAACTAAAGTGAATACAAAGTGAGGTTAAGTATATCGAAGACATACAACAATAATGATTAAACAAACAAAATGCAATCAATGAGAATAATGGAGTTCAATGTGAATTTAGTTGGTCTATTGTGGGAAAGAATCTGATTCTAAGGGAATAAGAGATAAATGGACGCAAGTTCTGATCATAACTAAGTTAAATTTGGCTAGGAGTTTAGGCTAAAGGATTAAAGCTAAAGCTAAAAGGTTTGAAAGCTAGAAGACAGGGTTTGTTTTGTCTTACTGCTTGATGAGTTTGTCAGACGCCCTGTAAGTAGACGGCCCCACGCTGGCTGCTGGTACGCCGTACGGCTCGGCTCTGCCAGGGATCATTCCGGGGGTCCGCCTGCTTTAGCTGGTGATGAAGAAACTCTTGCAGTGATAGGCAGTAAACCCTGGCTCAGTTCGTTGATTTATATCCTCTGTATTACAGCTGGCATAACTCAGCTGGCCTCCAACTCGTTGTCGTTGGGAGGAGTGAGGTCAACGTTAATTTGATGGAAATAAGCTTATAAGAGACTTAGTTATCCCTGAATTCAAAGTTGCACAACTTAAACGGTCTGATAACTTTAAAGGTCCAGTGTGTAATATTTCTGATGCTCTACTGACAGAAATTCAATATAAGATCCATAACTATGTTTTCAGGGGTGTGTAAAGACCTTATATAATGAACCATTATGTTTTTATTACCTTAGAATG